GGCATTATGTAACGTTCTAGATAGAAGGTTAGAAAAGGATCGATGAGACACGTAATCTTGTGAATGGCCACTCCTCCTAAACCGTTGCCACAAAGATCTCTTGTGACGAAGCATCCTCGATATGTTAGAGTTGATCCAGGGCTTTGAGGGGTCACAGTATACCATCTTTTCAACAGAATTGTCAGCCGTTTCGCTTAGGACTCGTTGAGCGAAAGTGTCCCACATATCTTGGGTGCTACGGTTGTTAAGCAAAGCAGGCCAGTTGACTTCAGACAGGGCTTGGTTAAGAGCATCGTGGTTTACAATTTTGATGGTTTTAAACTTATCGGTTGTAGAACGACTATTTATATTGAACTGGAGATAAAATAAAAGTGAACAGTGGTCAGACTTGCCAAAAGGTGGCAAATAATCTAAATTAGAAACAAAGTCGGCGTCGTTAACGAGTATCAAATCCAGAGCCCTAGGCGTCTGTCCGTCCCTGAATCTCGTTGGACGATCAACAAGTTGAGATATGCTAGAGTTGCGTAGCAAGTCGATGTAAGCAGCAGAAGAAGAATTGCATTCAGGAATGGTTTACATAGGCCAGCTAATGTCACGTAGATTGAAGTCACCAGTTATGAAAAGGTTGGTGTTTTTATTTAAGAGATCTGAAATGAGACTGCACAGGTGTGTGTCTCCCAAACAGGGCCGTGGCCGATATATGCAGCCTATCGTGAAGCTGAAATTTGGGCACCTCAATTCCAAAAATAGATTGTCAATGCCATCGAAAGGACTGAAAGAGGGAGATACCGAGAAAGCCGACGCGATTTCCGTGCGAACATAAATGCATACTCCACCAAAACCAGGAGTGCGTGGTGAATCCATTCTGTATAAATAGTATCCAGGCAAATTGATGGAAGAGTCGGACACGTTGGAGTGGAGCCATGTTTCAGTAAGGCAAACGAACGTTGGATTATTGTCTCGAACAAATGCTTGGAGTTCAAGTAGCTTAGAAAAGAGAGATTGTATATTAGTGTAACAAACCGTCCAGTTTGCCACAGAATTTATCAGTTTTTTGAAGGTGTGATCTCCTGGGTAGCTGTGTGTACTATAGAAGGTTTACCACGAACGTATTTTATAGTAATATTACTTTCGCCTGTTGTTTGACAACGTCTAAGGTCTTCGCGAAGGTGTTGTAGTTCTTGCATTTGACCTCTGGTTTTGTCGTCAGAGATTTTTACGTGACGAAGCGTGGGGTGGCTAAGGATGGAGTTTTTCTTCCGCAAAATATTGCTGACGATAATAGGTGAGGAAAACACAACTCTAATTAAACGATTGCTTGAAGTTGTTCTGCCAAGGCGAGTGATGCTGAGTCGGTGATTTTCGGCAGATGGTTCAATATGCCTAATTATCTCTGATACTATGTTTATGTTATCGTTCCCTTCAGCTATGCCCTTCAGAATGATATTGTGGGAACGTCTAAATAACTCCATTGTCTCAGCTTGGGAGCTTGGGGCAATAGGGGTAGAAGAAGCGCCGTTGCCTGAGTGCATCGTCTCCATAGATCTTGCAAGTCTCGATTCAATATTAGCAATGTTAGAAGACAGCTCTGTTTGAGTAACCTGGATATTTTGTATGTTGGTTTCGCATGCCGCTATTAAGTCATCATGCCGAGAGATCGAGTCCGAATGTTGCTGTAGCAAGTTTCTACAATAAGCAACACCAGTTCTGAGTTGAGATTGAGATTTCTTAATATCCTTTATGTCACTGGCCATAGTTGATAATTGGTTAAGTATAAGGGTGAGAGTGTCGGTAGGGGTAGACTGATCTGGTTGTAAAGGAGCAGTGGTTTCTGAACGAGCACCGCATGTGGAAGAGATGGATCCGCTTCGGGTAACTCGTCCCTGTTTACAACAGGCTGGGCAAGACCATCGTTCTTTTCCGTCCGACAGTTCTTCGTTGTTATCACTGTATTTTTCTACATTATCCCCATCTTCAGGATCTTTCATGTTTTTTATTCTTCTTTCGTACAGTCTGACTCATGTTCCCTTATTCCAGCGGCTATTTCCGGATTACCCTATACACTCTGTAGACTAGTTTCTTAATTTGATTTGACACTATTGACGAAATGTCCAAATGACAAAATGGAATATATGGTAAAATGGCTGAAGATTACTCCCACGGCTCTGGAAACTATCACCAACAGGTCCACGGACGTACCTCTTCCTGCTCTTAACTTGAACACCTCTGGTTTTAAATATTTTTGGCTTTTCTCCGATATTTTGGGGTATTTACAGTGAATACTAATTTAGTAGTCTACTTTTAACATTACATATGTACTTATTATTTAGTGCGATAATTTTACATGTCCGTTAATATAGATCCATCCTAAAGAGACCAGAAATCTACGATATCGCATATAGCTTTGTGCTTATAGCAGTCTAGTCTGGTATATTAAAAAATGACAGATAGCCTCATACTCGCTTTTCGTTTTTGGGGGCTGGACGTCCTTTTTTGAAACGGGAATGCCTTCCTCTGGCAGTTCTGGGCCATGCTGGTTTTGCATGATGCCATCTTAAAATTTGGAATGATGACTTCGCGCAATCTTAACATGTTACGGGATTTTCAGACTATTATAGTAACATACTGTATAGGAATGTTATAATGAAATGAAAAAAAAGACAGATAACATGAGGTTTTATAGGCCAGAGAAGCATGGGGTCTCAAATTATTTTATGTGATTTTCACTTAAATAAAAGACATATCATCCACAGAAAATTCGGGAATTAGGATAGCTTTTTGATTGGTAGTTTGCATTTGTTGCTGCCATAGTGTGGCTTCTCCTTTGGAAGAATTTACCTCTAACAATAACAACTTCGACCGTTCGGGTGGATTATAGGATATAGTCCAGTGGAATTAACGTCGCCAGTTTGTTTGCTAAACACCTTGAATAGGAGAAGTTAATGTCATGTTAATGTATACAATCTGGTGAAATTAGAATAGCGTTGGAATAGTGAATGTCGGAGGATGGAATAAATGATATTCAGAAACTGCCAGAGATGTTTTCTCCAGCAGTGACATCAGTAACACAGTCTTTTTGTATACCTCCCCGAATTTCTTTGATCCTAATAGCAAATTGCTTCTCGTCCGAATTCGGCACTTCTACAATGAAAGCCTGATGATTGGATGTGTAGGTTTCGACTTTTCGAGATTTTATATCAGTATCGCAGAAATGAATAAAGGTACCTTTGAAGCAAATTACTTTTTCCATACCTCCTCGCGTTTTTGTGATCCTGATAACAAATTTCCCCTTATACAAATTCTGCACTCCTACGATAAAAGCCTGATGATTGGACGTATAGATTTAAAGTTTCCAAGATTATGTATCTGGATTGCAGAAACGGCAAGAGTTGTCGCCACTAATACCATTGCCATCAGCAGCAAAGTACCGTCACCGTACTCCTTCGCGTTTATGAGATCCTGATAACAAATTGCTTCTGTTCCCACCGGCGCCGGCACCTGGGTCGTAATATAAGGAACGAAGTATTTTCAATACCTTCTCGCATTTCTGCGACCCTGATTGTAAATCGCTCCACTCCGATGTCTGGATGTGCGATTTTTGACTTTAGGTTTTGCATCAAGACGACGAAAGGTGTTTCGACCAAAGTCATAAATACCAGGGACAGAGTATTTTCTACCTCGCGTTTCTTCTCATACAAATCCGGCACTTGTGCAATGAACGTCTGATGACTGGATGTGCAAATTTCGACTTTTCTAGAGTTTGTATTAGGATCGCAGAAATAATTAGAGTTCTCGGCATTAGACAGTGTCATTGATAGCAGAAACGGAGTATATTTGCGTACATATTTACAAGTATGAGTTGTTGATTGGTAGGGTAGATTAAATGGTACGATAAAAAACTGATGATTAGATGTACAGATTTCGACTTTCAAGATTATGTATCAGGATTGCAGAAACCGCGATAGGTGTCGCTACTAATACCATTGCCACCAGCAGCAGAGTACTATTACCGTACTCCTTCGCGTTTATGATATCCTGATAACAAATTGCTCCTTCTGTATTAGGATTGCAGAAACGACAAGACGTGTTCGCGTCGACGCCTGTGTCGTAATATCAGGAACGAAGTACTTTCAATACCTTCTCGCGTTTCTGCAGTCCTGATCGTAATTTGCGCCTTTCCAATGTCTGGATGTGCGGTTTTTGGCTTTTTAAGATTTTGCATCAAGACGACGAGAGGTGTTACGGCCAATGTCACCAATATCAAAAACAGAGAACTTTTTTCTCTCAAAAACCTGACACTTGTGCAATGAACGTCTGATGGATGGATTTCGACTTTTCTAGAGTTTGTACTAGGATAGCAGAAATGACAAAAGTTCTTCTCGCCAGTAGACAGTATATTTACGTACCTCTTTACCAGTGCGAGTTGTTGATTGGTAGGGTAGACTAAATGCTATAGTTTGCTGGAATACACTTCGCAAGTTTATTTGCAAACACCTCGAACAGGAGTAGTCAATGTCATTGAGTGGATTGAAGGAAATACTCTGGCAAGTTTATTTGGGAAACAGCTTGAATGGGAGGATTAATGGAAACAGTCGAGTGAAATTAATTTGACAAGTTTATTCTGTCAAAGATCTCTAATGGGAATAGTCGAACAAAAATAGTCCAGTGAAATTAATTTTGCATTTTTTTTCAAACATAAGAAAATCTTTTGTTGTTAGTTAGGGCTCGATTTGTCTGATTGAGCTTTATGTAGGCGGATAAGTCTTTCCCCGTTACTGTCATTTTAGATGGTATACCTGAAGAAATGTATGTACCTCATCCCTTTAAACTTACACACTAAATATACGCTATCCCATCAATATTGAAAATATATCTCCATCTAACAATGGGTTAAAAACCTTCTAAAATTTCCTAAAATACAAATCTATAGATAGTTCAATTATTACGGAATAAAAAATACGTCAATCGATAACGGTGAATATTAACATTTTTATACTTACAGTGAGCTGATGGTACTTGAAGAGTGTTTCATTCGCTTTTCGATGTTTTCTGGAGAATACGGATTATTCTTCATCTCAATAGCATGTTTCCATTTTTCCTTTTCTCTTCTACTGTAGCTACCTGAAATCACAATATTTTGAGTCAAAAGCACTTGCCGCACTGATGATCCTTAATACAGACAAAACATTGCTGAGACTGACTGCGGGGATTTATGATTTGTTAAAGTTTGTAATATATAGCGTACCTGAGAATACCACGAAATCTTCCTTTGAGTCATCCCCAGGATCTTGAGCTCCATTTTCTTTCATATTATCTGTTTGGTCCGTGCCATTTTGTTGTGATGTGTTGGTCTGTTGCTTTGACTTTTGCAATGAAGCTCTGCCAAAAAACAATGTAAAATGTAGAATACAAGGCAGAAAAACTTGATGCAACAACAGTTTGAAATCCTAAATGTACGATAGTTAATAAATGCATGACGAAATAATATAAACATGAAAAAGTCCTACCTTGCTGGTGGTGTAGGTACTGGAGACTTCATAATGGTTCTTGGAAGTGAACCATATTTCTCTGTATACTCTGCTACTTTCTCAGTATTACTGTATACTGACATAATCGACGCGTCTTCAACGTCTGCAAACATGAATGAAACTGAAGGTAATATATGTTTACCTAATGCATGTTAATATTAAATAGAATCTAGATTACTTAATAAGGTTCTCACGCTTTCAGCATCTGCATAAGAGAGGTCACTGTTTGGAGAAATGAAAACTTTGAATAGAAAGCAAAATTAGAATATTTAAAGTAAATACGTTATAAATACACTATACCGCTACTGATAGCCTTAAAGTTTGAAAAAATTCTTGCGTGTCTGCAATTTTGAGCACAATCTGTCGCTTAGAAAAACAGTCACTAAAGTTTTTGGAAAATACCACGTTCTCAAGGAGCCTCTTCCTATGTTTACCACTTGAGCGAGTGCATACTGGGTATGGTAGCTGGACGCTTCCTGGCTAAAATGAGATTCTAGAGTTTTGACCCTGGAAACGGATATAGTGGAAAATTTCACGCTCAGATGTGACCTTATATGAAAAGTATTTTGACCTTGATCATCCCTTATCAGGGTTGTGACTGAAAGTAAAATTGTTCCCAGTATTTGTTTCTGCAATACAAAGTAGCATGCAGAAAAATGCCTAGGCCTTGAATTGACTCTCAAAGTCAAGGTAAAGGTCCAGGTGACTAGTGAAAATCGAGGATCGTCTAAGTCTGTCGACTTTATGTTCTTATTTTTGCTTTATCTTCAGGAGCCTCCATTAAATCTTCTTTACAACGAAAACTTCCGAAGCGATGATCTTGACCAGGACGTTTAAGGTCAAAATAACTTTCACCTAAGGTCATATACGAACGTAAAATATTCTCTCTATCCATTTCCGAGATCAAAAGTGTATGATTTTATTGACAAAAAATCGCCTTGACCTTGAGTTGCCCCGAAAGATCACTGTCAAGGTCAGTTTCAAGGTTACTACTGAAAATCCAGAGCAAAATCTAAGTCTATGTCGACTTTAGGCCCTTATTTTGGAATATATTCAGTAAGCTTCCTAAAATCTTCTTTACGGTGACCTTGGACGAAACCGTTAAGGTTAAACTCTTTTTCATCCAAGGTCATACTTGGACGGATATTTTCCACATCTGGTGCAAAGGTGTAAAGTAGCATTCAAGAAGATTGTCCTGACCTTGATTTGACGGTCAAATATATGGTTAAGGGTAGTTTCAAGGTCAGAAAAATTGAAGCATATATTATATTTGAGTCCTTAATGATTTATCTTTAGAAAGATTTCTGAAATAATTTGAAACGATGATCTTGACCAGGACGTTATATACTAAGTGACATATAAATCCGAACACCCAGTTTAAATGGTTTTATTTTAATAAAAGTTGGTGAATGTATTTATCTTACTGTAAATAACAAGTGAAAAAATGTTCAGCCTTATCAGTTGGACATTCCGGTTTTTATACTGTTTTTTTTTAATTCACTAACGCTCTAAAAATGAATATTTCAGCCGCAGTAAAGAATCAACGTTGGCGGATTTTGGTTCTTGACATCCTTTACGATCGGTTACGATGCCTAGAGTACGGAGACCTGTACGATTTCGTCAACTTAGCGAGTTTGATAGGGGCCGTATAGTGGGACTTCGGGAAGCTGGACTTTCTTTTCGGGTGAAAGGAGGAATCCACAGTTTTTTGTTCAAAGACATGTTCATCACACTGTTGGAGTTATGGTTTGGGGTGCTATAGCTTATGGTTCCAGGTCACCTTTAATCTTCAGCAGAGGTAACATGAACGCGCAGCGTTATATCCACGAAGTTCTAGAACCCCATCTTTTACCCTATCTTGACACCCTGGCAGATCCAACTTTCCAACAAGATAATGCCCGACCACATGTTGCAAGAGTCACAATAGACTTCTTTCAACATAATGATGTCACATTGTTACCATGACCACCAAGATCTCCCGACTTATCCCCAATTGAACACGTGTGGGATATGATGGGTAGGAGATTGCTCAATTTGCAACGTCCTCCTCAGACTCTAGAAGCACTTCGAGAGGAGCTGGTGGTTGCCTGGAATGAGACACCACAGGAGGACATTGACCACCTGATGAGAAGCATGCCTAGGCGCGTTGGAGAATGCGTAGCACATCAGGGTGCATCCACACATTATTAAAGGTCAAAAGGCTTTAAAGCAGTGCAATCATTTTGAAATTTTTATCATTTACTTATTATGCTTCATTAAGTACTTATACAAAATTTTATTAAAATAAAACCATTTAAACTGGGTGTTCGGATTTATATGTCACTTAGTATAGATCAAAATGACACAAGGTCATATATCTGAACCTAAAATGTTCACTATCCATTTCCGAAATCAAAAGTATAGGGTCCCATTGAAGAAATCATCTTGACCTTTATTTGACCCTCAAGATTACAGTAAAGGTCAGTTTCAAGGTCACCATAGAAAATCCAGGGAAAAATGCACGTCTCTGGCGACGTTAGGGGTTAAGTTTTGACTTATCTTTGGAAAGTTCCCTGAAATCTTTACAGCGACCTTGTACAGAACCTTTAAGGTTTTCACTCAAGGATATATCTGGACTGAAAATCCAGAGCAAAATCTAAGCCTCTGTCGACTTCAGGTCCTTATTTTGAAATATATTCAGCAAGTTTCTTAAAATCCTCTTTAGGGCGACCTTGGACGGAACCTTTGAGTCAAACTCTTTTTCCTCCAAGGTAATACTTGGATGGACATTTTTCGCATCCGTTTCTGGGATGAAAGGTGTAAGATAGCAGTCAAGAAGATCGTATTGACCTTAATTTGACTGTCAAATATACAGTTAAGGGTGGTTTCAAGGTCACCAGCGAATAACCAGAGAAAAATTGAAATCTGTATTATACTCGAGTCCTTATTGCTTTATCTTTAGAAATATTTCTAAAATAATTTGAAACGATGATCTTGATCAAGACGTTGTAAGTTAAAATGACATTGACGAGAGGTCATATATAAAGTAAAATATTTTCTCTATCCATTTCCGAGATCAAAAGTATACGATCTCATTGAGCAAATCATCTTGACCTTGATTTGACCCTCAAGATTACAGTCAAGGTCAGTTTCAAGGTCACTAGTTAAAATCCAGGAAAAAATCCGAGTCTCTGTCGACGTTAGGCTTTTATTTTTGCCTTATCTTCAGAACATTCCCTGAAATCTTCTTTACAGCGACCTTGAACAGAACCTTTAAGGTCAAACTTGTTTTCACTCAAGGTAATATCTGGAAGAAACCTTTCCGCATCCGTTTCTGGGGTCAAAGGTAAATGGTGATATTCAAGAGGATTATCTTGACCTTGCTTTGACCGTCAAGTATACAGTTAAGATCAATTTCAAGGTCAATAGCGAATAGTCAGAAAAAATAGAGCATCCTTTGTTTTTGAGTCAGTATTGCTGTATCCTTAGGAATTTGTCTGAAATCGTTTAAAACGATGATCCGGAATGAACATTATGGGATAAAAATCGTCTTGACCTTGATATGACCTTTAATGTCATGCTCAAGTTCACTGGATAGGTTAGGAAAAATCCTAGGTCAGGAGTACTTTCTGTTTTCTATAATTCTTGAATATTCTTAAATATTTTTTGTTATACTGAAGCAGCGCCGTAGGCATAAGCCTAAATACCGGCGCACCGCGGCTGCTAAGGAGAGTCAAAAGAAACTTTTTTAATCCGATTTTTGAGCTAGGAAAAGCCCTTTCAGCTACATTGTTTGACAATCTCGATACCCTAGGGACAAAGGAGCGGTCGTAGCAGCCAGCTCTGGATGTACGAAGTCTTTTACGAGACTTCTGATTCACCCACACAAAGGGGCAGTTATATTTTTTCTTATGAGTTAGAAAATGGTAACATTTTGACGATTTTTCTAAGAAAAAACTAATCTACTCTTAACTTACTGTCGTCGTCCACAGTGATGTCGGCTCTGGCGATGTGCCTGTTTGGGGTGTGTGTCCCGCTGGCGCTGCCGTCTACCTCTTTGACCCCGGAATCTCCGGAAGATTCCTCATCAGAATCACCGTTTACCAGGACGTTTTTCCCGCCAATCACCGTCTTCGATTCTATCAGCAGGCTGGTACGACCTGGTACTGACTCTGCCTCACCGTAATCGGAACCTGCGTCCGACAGGTCGGACGTTTCGTCTATTTCTTTGTCGCCGATCAGTACCTGATTGCAAAAGTAGTTAATTTCAATTTGTTGTCTGTTTTATAGCCGCTTTACACAATCAAATAAATTCATGAATACATTTGATGAAAAATTGATGAATTTCTCCAAGGTAATAGGTAGCAAAATTACATGATCAAATTTATTCAAGTCAAGCATACCAACACATAGTAACTTCTTACAATACCAACCTGATAATGAACGTAATCAAGGAGAAGATGAGGGTATACGGACATTCTGATTCTTTCTGTTAAAATATTGAATCTTAAATTAAAACTAAAACGCTAAGTCAAACTGTAAGGATTATAATTTTATTTTTAAATCACAATACGTGGAGGCGTCAAATAACGGAGGTTGGTATCTAGGAAAAAGAACCAAAAGTTAAGCATTAGTTCTCAAAAAATTGGCGGAAGATTATGTAACCGACCAAGATTATCAATTTCTAAATTCGCTGAAATAATTTTTCGTGCCGCCTACCCTTGTAAGAACTCGTCCTATCCATGAAATTGAAATAAACATAAAAACTAAGGACAGAACGAACACGTAACATCTGCAACCCACCCAGCGAACGCCAACGAAAGTGAATAAATTGATATTTTAGAAAAAATATACAATTGAACCGGATGCAATGAATTTTTGAATAAGACGGGACAAAAAACATGGTTTGGAGATCTATTCTGTAATATTTTTTTTGCTACTACTATGAACTATAAAGTTCATAATCAAAGGGGCGCTGGGAAACTTGAAACTCAACCATTTGGTTAGCATATGTTAGAAGCTACCCTGAGCGCTGAATGGTCAAGCATCAGAGGCGTATTATGAGATATCTAAGACTTACGAAGTGCTAGCAAATTACTAATATATGTCATGACATGTGAAAAATTATGAAAAAGAGGAGAAACATAGCTAGGACTTTTGTAGAATTTTCCCCTAGCTGATATGAGTAGGTGCGCCAGGCTGGATACGATTCTACCTTCTGTCAACATACGCTTGGACAGATGAGGTTTGGAAATGATCATTAGAGAGGGGTAGATGAAATCAACGAAAGTCTGCGTACAAGGGCGGATCCAGGATATCGTCTAGAGGGGAGGGGCGCGCAAACGATCTTTGGGGCTGGTAATTTTTCTACCTCAGTGGAACTTCTAGAATGTATCCTATTATTGCACCTTAAATCCATTGTGTTGTATCTGTTCAATGCCAACTTGAAAAATTGAAAAAAAATTGGAAAGTGCTCAGAAATCCTCAGAAAGGCAATATTTTATTACATATATGAAAACAACAAAATTACGTGGCATTTATAATTAGCTAGTGTAATAATATTAAAGATTAAAACATAAAAAACTTCATTGCTCTGACATTTTGAGGGACCCCGAGACATATCCCAGCTATTTCACACAAAACAATGTCTTTGATGACGAAAACGAACATGAGACCGAAAAATTCACATTATCGTATGGACTCTAGACGAGACAAAGTTGGATATCTATAGACCATCTATAGATCGTGTCTTGAGACCGTCTCCAGACTGCCTGTAGGAAAATTGCTCAACGGGGTTTACTACTGTGTACTAAGCTTAAGGATTAATCCTCTGAACTACCTGTTAAATAAATCAAGTAATTGGTGTAAATACTGACACAATCAAGCACTTCTATTATATCAGCAGGTGATAAAAATATCAATAGTTATAACCAATTAGTTTTTGAAATTCAATATAGATATTACAGTTATTCTTCAGACTTTCGTTGTCAAACTTAGATTTACGGCATAGTTGTTGCTTTCTCAGTTTTCGAATCGGTGTTGATCGCATGTAAAGATGTTGGAAATCTTTGGAAAAAACTATATATGTTAGATCGTAATTATTTTGATAATGTATGTATGTACGAAACAAGAACCGGAATACAGGGCTGTACATATTCACGTGTAGTGCAGAAGCTCTGTGACTGTGAAACGAATTCCAATATAGCAACATAAATAGAAGCATACGCGGGAAGAAATGCGGGACCTGTGGTATTGACTTTGAGCATCGATCGACGCATTTTCTGGACAGGCTACAGGCGCACCGCTAAGCAAATCTTATAAATGTATATTTCCAATGTAGGCGTTTATCTAACATAGTCTAATCATATTAGCAAATTTCCCCGAAATAATTGCAAAGTCCGGTTTTATTGGTGCAAGTTGTTCAAGAACGCATTTTAAACATGGACCCATAAAATGGTTACACCAATTTTTGTGTCTATCATCTTTTGTTGCGAGTTACTCACAAATTCGAAATGTTTGAATTTGTTTAGAAGAAAAACGTAACCTATCCTTTTTTTGCATAAAAATAACATTTATCTTCCGGAATACTTTTCGATTCATATCGGCAAAGTAAACTATTGTATTTTGCTATAAAATGCCCTTTGATATAACCCATGTATATTGCTCAAAAAAACTAGTAGTAATGGCCGGATGTCTTGGGATAAACAATTAGAAATTCTCACAAACTACTTGACCAATCTACTCCAATTTTATTGGGTTTATTTAGAAGTACCAATCCTACGAATTTGAGGAATTTCAAATTTCTGCGAGAAACTGTCGTCGCATTACCAACACGTGCCAAAACCTGCAGTTTGCCTCAGTTTTCCGCCATAACTTTTCTGCTATTAATCGGATCTTTTTACGTGTGGTCTCATTTTGTAGGTCTTATAAATACCTAAAATCTTATATGAAGAGTTTTTTCGTTCCTGCTAACACTTTCTATTGAATCCCAAAAAACATGTTTTTCTCATTATTTGATGTCAAATAACAAGTTTTCCCACAAAAATTGGTGTACCCATTTTATGCGTCCATGTTTCGAATACCCCCTTGAACAACTTGCTTGAATAATACCAGACTTTACAATTATTTCGCAAACCAAGGCTATTTTCGTCTAAAATGATGAGATTAGTATAATCTGGTAAATTTGGTCCGTATTGTGGGTAGAGATATCGATGCCAGCACAGACAAGAAACCAGTTAGTATCGTCGCATATTCAAAATGGACTAAATACTTAATGAAGCATAATAAGTAAATGATAAAAATTTCAAAATGATTGCACTGCTTTAAAGACCTTTGACCTTTAATAATGTGTGGATGCACCCTGATGTGCTACGCATTCTCCAACGCGCCTAGGCATGCTTCTGATCAGGTGGTCAATGTCCTCCTGTGGTATCTCATTCCAGGCAACCACCAACTCCTCTCGAAGTGCTTCTAGAGTCTGAGGAGGACGTTGCAAATTGAGCAATCTCCTACCCATCATATCCCACACGTGCTCAATTGGGGATAAGTCGGGAGATCTTGGTGGGCATGGTAACAATGTGACATCATTATGTTGAAAGAAGTCTATTGTGACTCTTGCAACATGTGGTCGGGCATTATCTTGTTGGAAAGTTGGATCCACCAGGGTGTCAAGATAGGGTAAAAGATGGGGTTCTAGAACTTCGTGGATATAACGATGCGCGTTCATGTTACCTCTGATGAAGATTAAAGGTGACCTGGAACCATAAGCTATAGCACCCAAACCATAACTCCAACAGTGTGATGAACATGTCTTTCAACAAAAAACTGTGGATTCCTCATTTCACCACGTCGCCTTCTAACCCTGGCACGACCATCGTGCATGCCTAAAAAAAATCGAGACTCGTCACTAAAGACAATACTGTTCCATTCCTGATCCCAGAGTGACCGTTGTCTGCACCACTCAAGGCGATTACGTCGGTGTTCTCGAGTTAAAGGGAGGACCCAGTGTGGCCGGTATGAAAACAAGCCAAAACTTCTCATTCGTCGGTAAACACTTCGCATGCCAATAGGTCTTCCGTGTTCTGCAAACCATTCATTTGCAATGGACCTGGTAGTGGAGAAACGGTCCCTTAAGGCCAATAATCTTAGGCGGCGATCTTCACGGTCTGTTGTTCTACGGCGGCGGCCAGTGCCCCTTGCTCTTTGCGTACGGCCTTCTCGAAGCCATGCCTGACAACACCTAACCACAGTGTTTACACTTCTTTGCACTATAACTGCAATTGCCCGAAAAGAAAGTCCAGCTTCCCGAAGTCCCACTATACGGCCCCTATCAAACTCACTAAGTTGACGAAATCGTACAGGTCTCCGTACTCTAGGCATCGTAACCGATCGTAAAAGATGTCAAGAACCAAAATCCGCCAACGTTGATTCTTTACTGCGGCTGAAATATTCATTTTTAGAGCGTTAGTGAATTAAAAAAAAGCAGTATAAAAACCGGAATGTCCAATTGATAAGGCTGAACATTTTTTCACTTGTTATTTACAGTAAGATGAATACATTCACCAACTTTTATTAAAATAAAACCATTTAAACTGGGTGTTCGGATTTATATGTCACTTAGTATATTTTATACGTCCATGTTTTGAATACCCCCTTGAGCAACTTGCAGCAATAAAACCAGACTTTAGAATTATTTCGCAAACAAGGGGTATCTTCGTCTAATATGATTAGACTAATAGTGCTTCGCTGCAACACCAACCCCGAACAAAATCAGTTAAACTTTACACACTTTTCAAATTACTATTAGACGAACAGAACATAAATTACTTTTTAAGTGCAATCTGTATAGCTAATATATTGCTTAGATTTGTCACAAGTCACAATACTCGTATATACGTAGAAATCGTAATAATTGTGCTGTAAACGTCAGTGATGTCTAAGAGGGACAGCGTTTGGAATACCAAAGGATACCAAAAATCGCAATGCTTAGTTCCTATAGCTATAACTTATAGTATAGTTGTATGTTTCAGAAAACAACACAATGGTGTTAGATTACAAAAGCAAGTGTCAGACGTTTAGGGGGGGACGCGCACCCCTCGCGCCCCCTCTAAATACGCCACTGTCTGCGTAGTTCTAACGAAGCTAACTTTTGCTAAAATGCACCGAAAGTCACCGACATTTGTGAAAAATGATGAATGGGCGTAGTAAACTGATCGAACAAATCGGTAAAATTATTATATTAAAGATTTGTTATTCTTGTATCTAAATTTTCCTTATGATTCTGAGAGATAACAGTAAGAATCTACGATTTAAAGGACTTACTTATGACTAACAGACTGGAGCGTATTTACGGGAAATCTGTCGCTGACATTTGTGAAAAATGGTGAAAGACATACTAAACGGGCAAATTAAAAGATTCATTATTCTTGAATCTAGATTTTCTTATAATTTAGAGAGATAATAGTAGACGTCTATGTTTTGAAGTACTTACTTATGACTACCAGACTGAAGCGTAGTCTCCAACATTTGTGAAAATGGTGAATGTGCATACTAAACTGATCAGGCATACTGGTAAGAAGCTTTATTAGATTTATTCCTCGATTTTTCCTATGATTCTGGGAGAGAATTTTAAAAGATATGATTTGCAGGACCATATTCGTAATTGTACTCAGCGCTCAAGCTGCTTAAGAGTGTCGTTCATTTGTAGAAACGAGAAACAAAAACTGACCCTTTCATACTGGAGCCGTATTCAGGCAAGATTTAAAAAAAAAATGCAGTCCTCGAAAATGCGAATATTTGAGGGTGTGAATCTACATGAAAAATTAATGTTAGTTTGCTTTATAAACTATGGTCCAGAAATGTATCCTTACAAAAACTAGGGGTGTTGAACTTTTAGGAAAAAAAATGGAAATTAATTAATATTTTCAGAACCGCTTCAGATATTTCACTGATATTTAGTACGTGGTGGAAGTTAATAATGTTGCATATTTTTTAATGGAAAAATATATTTTAGCTTTAACAGTGGCGTGCGTACGGGTATTGACTTCGAGGTTTTTTAAGAAAAAAATGGTACGCCAATGGATATTTACCAAATTAAAATTATTCTTGAATACCCCGTTGAATTTGAAACAAAACATCTCTCCTGAATTGTTTTCTTTAGATGTGCCATGTTTGAGTAAAAAACCGTTCTATTGTCTAACTTGCAAAATTATTATTAATTTAAATGGAAAAATTAAACACATTAGGGGTAATGAACAGCAACAACTGACAACACAAACATAACATTAAAACCAACAAAATGATTACACAAATTGTTGAATATGGCCCCCTTCACTTCGTGTGCATGCTTCCGCCCTCGCGCTCATGGAATTGCGCACTTGTTGAAATATCCCTGGAGTGTTTTTTATTCTATCACAAGCTGCAACTATTCTTTTTCTTAATTCCTCTACAGTGTTAATAGGACTTGTGTACACTTGTGTCTTAAGATACCCCACAAAAAGAAACATAAACTGTTGAGGTCTGGGGACCTTGGTGGCCATTCTTGGGGCCCACCGAGACCAATCCAACGATTTGGATAAACAGTTTGTAAATAACTACGAACCGCCACACTGAAATGCGCTGGTACACCATCATGCATGTACCACATATTGTTTCTTATTACTTACGGAACATCATCAAGCAGCAAAGGCAACTGTTGTTGAAGAAAACTGAGGTAAGTCTGTCGACTATCTGGCAAAGCACGTTCGGGATATCTCTGGTGATAAATCCACCTGGCAAGGCAAGGCCATATACGTAATGCATTTCTGCATTTGATTAATTCACCATTATTAACAAGATTGTTAAAACTAAATAATTTAAAAGATGTCACAGCGAACAGATTTGAATAACAGAAACTTGTCAGATGTCAAAAGTCACTGACATATTCCAGAGCAACTAGGTATTTATTGCTAAATTGCATTCTTCAATTATTACATTATTTTGCTCGGACAATGGAACGGTTTTTATTTTTTTACTCACTAATGGCGCATCGAAGGAAAACAATTCAAGAGAGATTATTTGTTTTAAATTAAATGGGGAATTCAAAAATAATTTTTATTTGGCAAAAAACCGGTGAATAATTTTTTCTTAAGAAATATCGAAGTCAATACCCGTACGCACGCCACTGTTAAAGCTAAAAGTCATTTTTGCATTGAAAAATATGCAACTTTATTAACTTTCATTACGTACTAAATATCAGTGAAAATCTTAAATTTAGTAATTTAAAAACTATTAGAAGAAGTATTAAAGTAAACTTCAAAACAAACCTTGGCTTCCGTAGTGGGATTAGGTACTAGCATCGGTACTGGCACTGGAGAATGGGTTCCTTGAAACTGTCGCTTCTGAAGGAACCAATTAGGCTCTTCTTCGCTCAGCAAGGACGAGTTTGTTCTGAAGTATTCACTGTCATCTTCATCATCCGACTCGCTGTGGGCAACTTCTTCGATATCTTGTTTTATCTGTTATAAAAGTAAAAAAATTAGCATGCCTTTACGCAGTATAAAGGTACATTGAACGCGCGCGCTTGATTGACAATTAAAAACAAAACTTTTCAATAATAATACTTACTCAAATGCCTTTGAACTTTCTTGATGGATATTTGACGAATATTTTTGATTTTTGGCAATATTCAAATTTTTGTTACCTTCCATACTGTTTTTCGGGGTCGAAACTGGTATATTTTGCAATATTCCAAATATCACTTTTGTTGTAAAAATTATCAACTTTAGAGAAAGGTTCATGAATATATTTTTTTCAGAGTAACTTTATGCACCTAAAAAACTTTATCCGAGGCGAAAAAGGCAATTTTTGAGCTTTGTTTAAAAATTGCTCAAAAATTTTTTGATGCAATTTTGGAGGAAAAATATTGATATTCCGTGGATATAAAAATTCCGGAATTTTTTTCAGATTATAACATTTTAATATTTTTTTTTTTGGCGTACTGAGCTTGCTCCATATAATCTCGTGACGCTAAAATAAGATCATCGTAAAATTAATATCTTTAAAGTAAAAAGTACCTTTTAGATTCAAAATTAAAGTAGTAGTAGTAGTTTAGTTGAAGTTTCGGTTGTCAAGTTTCAGTAACAACCAAAAAATTTTGTTTGTAACCAATATTTTGCATCTTTCAATGTTGTTGTTAGGTAAATAGTTCTATTAACAAACCATATATCGGAGCTGAGTGTTCAGGGAAACAGAAATTGAAATTTACAGTATACAGGGTTATCCAAATTAAGTGTCCACCATTAGTAACTTTGTTATTAGTGAAAATACAAAGTTGTTTGAATTAGCAAACTAGTAGCATTTTTAACGCTGGTAAAAATGAGAAATAAAAAAAACAATTGAGAGTCGTTATTTTGATTTTTTTCAGTAAAATAACATTTTTTTAAATGGAAACCCCTGTATATTATATTTTTTTGTGTTAAAGCATCAAATTTTAAACAAAAAAGCTTACAATAACTTTTCTCCTAGGTTACAAATTGTTGAAGTTATGGCCTCCAATCTGAAACAATTAAATTGTATCGACAAACTTTATTTTCAACATCAACTTATAATGTTATAAAATACAATAACAATTTTTTTAAAGAAGATGCTCGAAAACACCACCTTGTTCTTCAATACATTTTTGGGCACGTTTTTCAACTGCTCGAACTGTCTTAAGTATGGTCCTACCATCTATCTGGGTTATCTTTTCCCTAACTGCAGTCTTTAACGCGTCAAGGTTATCGTACCTTCGCTTGTAAATTTGGTTCTTTAAGTAACCCCACAAGAAGTAATCAAGTGGGTTTAGATCTGGTGATCTGGGAGGCCACTGTATTGGGCATTTTGTTCCTATCCACTGATCATTAAAAGTAGTACTTAGAAAATGATAAGTACCTCTGGAGTTGTGGGCAGGTGCGCCATCTTGCTGAAAATGCAGATGATGTCTACTTATAAGATCCAATTCGTCTAAGAAATTAGTCAGAATTTCTGACATAAATTCCACATATCTTTCACCAGTTAGGGTTCCCTCATAAAAGAACGGGCCAACAATTTTTGAACCAATTATACCGCACCAAACGTTGAAACTGAAACGGACTTGTGGGCCTCTTGGATGTACCAACAAAAGATTTTCTCTTGACCAATAATGGTGGTTTTTTCTATTAAACATTCCAGAATTTGAAAAATTTGATTCATCTGTCCATAAAAGGTAACGAAAGTTATTTACATTTTGGCGACAGAAGCTAAGATCCCAATGGCAAAAAACAAGTCTTCTCTCTGGATCCCCTGCCAAAAGCGTTTGAACTGGTCGGTACTTATACGGAATAAATTTGTATTTTTTTAAAATCATTTGAACAGTACCATAACTGAAATTAGAGTCCCTGAGAATATCTGCTATTGAATTCTCACGATAAGCTTCAAAATATCCAATAACTGCAATTTCCGTGGCCTCGCTTATTATGAATTCTTTTTTTGCCCTTGTTTTAGCAAAAACATTTTCGTTGCCCCTAAATTTTCGATAAAGTCTCAGAAAATATCGTTCATACGGTTGAATGCGAGCGGGATATAATTCACTGTAGTATTCTCTTGCTCTCAAGGAGGATTTTCTGCACACTAAATAGCATTCTAACATATCGCACTTTTCTTCATGGGAGAACATTTTTCTTTAAATTAATGACACAATAAAGCTTATAAACAAGTATTTACACTAATGTTTGACATTATTTGATTTTATCATTGTTTTCCAAAGCCTTCTAGTTGCGAGTATGTCCAGTTTAACAATTTGTCGCTTATCTTAATGCTGTCAAATCGCGAACGCCATGTTGTTTTCATAGCCGTCTTAATATTATAATACTGCAAATAATTAAAAATATTTATCGTTATTTTGACTTTATTTTTGACTTTAGCGGAAAAGTCATTATGAACTTTTTTGTTTAAAATTTGATGCTTTAACAGAAAAAAATATAATATACAGGGGTTTCCATTTAAAAAAATGTTATTTTACTGAAAAAAGTCAAAATAACGACTCTCAATTGTTTTTTTTTATTTCTCATTTTTACCAGCGTTAAAAATGCTACTAGTTTGCTAATTCAAACAACTTTGTATTTTCACTAATAACAAAGTTACTAATGGTGGACACTTAATTTGGATAACCCTGTATACTTTTTGGAGGAAGAATATTGATATTTCGAGGATATTTTTTTTTCAAATTTATAACATTATAACAAATTCTCAAATCCTCACCGTAAGAGTGACCCTATCGACATATTTCTTGGATCCAAAACTTGAATCGCTGTGTATCCATTCTTCAAGACTGGATACCGAAGAGGTGTCTAGGTCTGTGGTCTTCCACTTATCCTCCAAGGTCTCTTCTCCGAAGAAATATTCTTTGACGCGTCTCCTTCTTGGAGTTGATGTTCTACTGGACAAACTGGCTGCTGATGAGCCTGGACGGGTATGCTGACCATTACTCACCACCTAGAGAAATGTCACGGAGACTGACTTGGCAGTTTTAAGAATTTTATAAAAATGATACAATAGCGAACATAAACGTTTTTTTGTATCTTCTATCTATTATTTACGTTATTATGATACCGTAGTCACATATTTTATCATGGGAATGTCTTTTTTGGTTAAACATTTAAGAGTGAATACCAATGACCTTGATTTAAACGATGCATTTTTCGCGCGCATCGCAGTGACGTCACAAGTCATGGTTTGTCACGCTATTCTAAATTTGGTTAAAATTATTGTCATGTTTTGGGGTCAAGTTTGGAACGGTTCTATTTTCACGCTCTTCACAGTCACGTCACAACACATGATTTGTCATTTTATTCTTTGTTTGGCCCTTGCGATTTGCTGTCAAGTTTTGAAAGGTTCTATTTTCTTTTTGTCGATATCGTAACGTCACGCCAATGTCGTTGCAAATGCAGCGTATTTTTACCATTTTTTATCAATTAATACCGATATTTAAATCAAATGCCTATTCCCGATTGGTGGTCGTTTAGTCTGAGTTTGTAAAACAATGATGAATTCTGAACCTGATCCTACAAACTAAAGACCAGCGGACTAACTTTGAGTGCCAATCACTTGCGTATTGAGACAGGTTGATGAGCATGGCCTAGACCTATTTAACAGGTTAATTTAAGAAAGGATAAAACTTTGATATTACCGAAAAAGGATATCTGGTTTTTAATGAATGTCATCTTAGATAAAGTGTATATGGATTATTTGTTTCTGAATTGATCTTTCTAGAAACGCACAAAATTAAAATGATACGAGAACATTAATGAACAACAATTAATCTGATAGCTCTTTTATATCGATATAGCGAAATGGCACAATACTAGTTCCATTTCCTTAGCTTTCAATCTGGCAATACCAATTTCAAAAAGATGAGAAAGAAGAAATGTATTTGTTAATTGTTTCAAGTCGTGTGATTGGTCTTCTTAGTACTACTAGATATCTGCTGTGCCAAATTTTAGCTTGTTAATATTTCTTCTGATATCAAAAACCCTGAAGGTTGGACTAAAGGTCATCTAATTGAGAAATCAAGGTAGCATAACCCAGCAGAACCACAACTGTTACAATTTGTGATTCTTCCAAAAAAATATGCAACAGTTAGAACGGTCTAAGGCATAACCCATTATACATATATTCCTAAATTATAAGCAACGGCATAAGCTCCTTAATCTAAGTAAAGTCTGGATGTTCACTGGAACTTTAGGTCCATTTTAAGTAGCGAGCATTGATGAACAATACGAAGATATCATACTACAAGATGCGTATTCTTAGTACAATGACGATGATCTCACCTTAACACTCAGCACGTTTGCTTTTCGATTAGATTTTCTTGCTACAACCGAAACAATCGCCATATTTATGTACTGTACAGTAAATTAAGTTTCCGTATCGATCTCACAAATGTATGTCTAGACCAAGAAACCATATAGTTTCTCCTTTAATTTATCTGCCTTCGACAGATGTATTTTTCAATAAATAATGTTAATCATAACGAGTTTCGATAATTATTTACTTTTTACAACTCAGGGTAAAATCTCCCTAGATTTGGCGACATTCATCAAATGCCATGTCCAAGAAAATCAACTGTCTAAAACATCCACATAGGTCTTTAAGCAAAGTGGAGCTCACTAAGTACTGTATCGTCAGTCGTTCCTTCAAATGTAGGTCACTTTTATGGCCTCCTTGATTCTCATAGTCTTTTCTCTCCTTCAAAAAGCTTGGGTATTTATAGGATTCTACTGTTCCGTACCAGCGTCAGCTCTCTTCTATTAATTGTGAGGTTAAGTTTTCTTTTTGAATCTTCAGATATTTTAGGCTGACAAAGCGATAAGGTAGATAAAAATTAATTAACCTTAAATTTCTTAGAATTCAAAAAGTAAATACGAGCCCCTTCCCACTTCAGTTAGCCCAACTATTGAAATCTTAGTTTTTTTCTTATCAAACACAAATAATAAAAATTTAGCAGGGTGTTATAGGTTTAAAATGTTAACAATGAATATTTTGATAATATATAGCAGAAAACACCAACTTTATCACTCCCTAATCAAATTTGCAGCATAAAAATAACACATGTTGCAATTACAGCATATCAACCTGTTTTCATTTCAATGCAAAATAAGTCTATAACTCATAGGTGGCTGTGAAAAATAAAAGCCATGACAATTGTTTTTATTAATCACAGCTGTCAGAATACGTTTAAAATAGTTTTGGGTAGTTAAGGTTTTCAAAATGGGTAGAGGAAAGGTTATTAGTGAGTAATTAAATTTTTTAATTCTGGGAAATCAAACTCAGAAATTGCAACTTTGTTAGACTTATCGCGGTACAGTGTGAGAAATATTGCTAGAAGATAAAACGTAACTGGTTCAGTTAATATTAAGCCACGATATGTGAAAAAAAGTAATATCACAAATGCCGACCGAAGAGCATCAAGAATAATCGTGAAAAACAGGCGTGCCAATTAATTACAATTAAGTGCTCTGTGGAGTGATGTTGTTGGAAGGCGAATTTCGAGGTCCACAACTCATAGAGAGGCCCACAAACTGGGATTTAGCACTTGCAAGGTAAGTTTGTAAGTTTCCTTATACAAAAAAGTGAACTAAAAACCCTAAAGTTGCACAACTTGTTTATACGCCAAAGAAAAGCCACTATTAACTCCACTGCAAAATAAAAATCGGCTTAAATGGGCTAAAGAACATAGACAATGGACACCTCAACAATGGTGTGCAATACAATGGAGTGATGAGGCTCGATTCGAAGTTTGTGTTGATGTCAGTCGCAGTAGAGTTATTCGCAAAAAAATTAAGCATTCCATGTAGACTGTCTGAAGAGAAAAGAGAAATTTCCAGCATCCATTATGGTCTGGGGCAGTATGTCATCAAAAGGAGTGGGAAAACTTAATTTTATTGATGGAAATGTGGATACAAACAAATTGGCAATTTTAGAAGAATCGCTTTTACCAGTGATGGAAGAATGTTTGACATCCGGCCAGGATTTTGTGTTTCAGCAAGACGGTGCAGCATGCCATACCTCAAAATAGGCTATAAAATGGATGGAAGAAAATAATGTACCACTTTTGAAATGGGTTTCTAGCAGTCCAGATCTGTCACCTATTGAAACTTTGTGGCACGAGATGAAAAAGGTTCTACGACAACATCCTGCTCGTACAATCAGCGAACTGAGACAAAAGCTTCAAGAAATATGGGATTGTTTTACACCAAATTTTTGCCAAAACTTGGTTAACACTATGCCCCAAAGAATTGCAGCCGTAATAATGATAATCTTTCAACTGTTGCTTTGTTAACTTCGCGCATTTATTCGCACATTGTTTATTTGTTCAGATGTTCTATCAGTTATAGGTCCAGTGATTTCAAATATGTATTTTTTACGACTAGAGTGTATCTAAAATGTTTTTGAGAAAATAAATTGTTTTAGAAGTAAATAGTTTCGTCATGTTTAGTTTATAAAGGCATATTTTGGTACAAATCTTGAAGTGGGCCAACTGAAGTGGGAAGGGGCTCGTATAACCTCAAAGTAAAGCGCCTACACGGAACAGCAGAAATCTAGAAATACCCCTGCCTTTCTCAAATATTAGTCATTGCAATACAATAATTTTACACGAATATGTGCCCTCTTATGAGGAATCGGATAGTCTCCTGGGCTTCTCCAATGTTAGCCACCCTGTATGTTACTGGGCAAACGCAGGCGTCATATAATTTCATCGTTATTACGGCCCATGGTTGGTAATTTCACTGATTTTTCTCTTGATTTGATATACTAAGTGACATATAAATCCGAACACCCAGTTTAAATGGTTTTATTTTAATAAAAGTTGGTGAATGTATTTATCTTACTGTAAATAAGAAGTGAAACAATTTTCAGCCTTATCAGTTGGACATTCTGGTTTTTATACTGCTTTTTTTTAATTCACTAACGCTCTAAAAATGAATATTTCAGCCGCAGTAAAGAATCAACGTTGGCGGATTTTGGTTCTTGACATCCTTTACGATTGGTTACGATGCCTAGAGTACGGAGACCTGTACGATTTCGTCAACTTAGTGAGTTTGATAGGGGCCGTATAGTGGGACTTCGGGAAGCTGGACTTTCTTTTCGGGCAATTGCAGTTAGAGTGCAAAGAAGTGTAGACAATGTGGTTAGGTGTTGTCAGGCATGGCTTCAAGAAGGCCGTACGCAAAGAGCAAGGGGCACTGGACGCCACCGTAGAACAACAGACCGTGAAGATCGCCGCCTAAGATTATTGGCCTTAAGGGACCGTTTCTCCACTACCAGGTCCATTGAAAATGAATGGTTTGCAGAACACGGAAGACCTATTGGCATGCGAAGTGTTTACCGACGAATGAGAAGTTTTGGCTTGTTTTCATACCGGCCACACTGGGTCTTCCCTTTAACTCGAGAACACCGACGTAATCGCCTTGAGTGGTGCAGACAACGGTCACTCTGGGATCAGGAATGGAACAGTATTGTCTTTCGTGACGAGTCTCGATTTTGTTTAGGCATGCACGATGGTCGTGCCAGGGTTAGAAGGCGACGTGGTGAAAGGAGGAATCCACAGTTTTTTGTTGAAAGACATGTTCATCACACTGTTGGAGTTATGGTTTGGGGTGCTATAGCTTATGGTTCCAGGTCACCTTTAATCTTCATCAGCGGTAACATGAACGCGCAGCGTTATATCCACGAAGTTCTAGAACCCCATCTTTTACCCTATCTTGACACCCTGGCAGATCCAACTTTCCAACAAGATAATGCCCGACCACATGTTGCAAGAGTCACAATAGACTTCTTTCAACATAATGATGTCACATTGTTACCATGGCCACCAAGATCTCCCGACTTATCCCCAATTGAGCACGTGTGGGATATGATGGGTAGGAGATTGCTCAATTTGCAACGTCCTCCTCAGACTCTAGAAGCACTTCGAGAGGAGTTGGTGGTTGCCTGGAATGAGATACCACAGGAGGACATTGACCACCTAATCAGAAGCATGCCTAGGCGCGTTGGAGAATGCGTAGCACATCAGGGTGCATCCACACATTATTAAAGGTCAAAGGGCTTTAAAGCAGTGCAATCATTTTGAAATTTTTATCATTTACTTATTATGCTTCATTAAGTACTTATACAAAATTTTATTAAAATAAAACCATTTAAACTGGGTCTTCGGATTTATATGTCACTTGGTATATAACCGGTGAAGAAACTTTCAAAGTGATCCAAACATTTCCACGGCGATCGATCCAAAGAACTCTGAGGGACAGAGATCTTTTATTCCAGTGTATGTCAGTGGTTATCCCATCAGTTACATTGAAAGGTCGGTTCTTCCAAGCTTAGAAATGTTACCTTGTTGATTATGGCAGTTGCTAGAAGGTCCTCATAAGTTCTATCAGTTTCGTTTGGTGGTAAACTTTGCGTGTCTCTATTCAAATTGGGAAGATTTAGTGCTTCTCTCAACAGCCTTTCGATGATCTGCTTCAAGGTTGCGTGCGCTGAGCAGGGTGACTGGCCAGCTACTGGTAAATCTGAAACAGAGTAGAAAACTATGATGAATTTTATTTTATTTATCCTATCGTTAAAAATAAATATTCGTGGACTTTGGTTTGAACATGTACTTTTCGATGCATTTAACGTTGCTGTCATCCCCAATGGGTGTTTTGTTGGCTGAAATTTGGAAACCCGCGAATACTTTTGTTGGAAAAAATTGAAATGAACTCTAGTTATTTCAGAGTATGTTTCTTGAAATAAGACGACACAAAGTATCATATATTATCAGTATCGACCACTCCTCAGCTTTCGTCCGTTGTTCACCGAGAGCAAGCCTATATCATGCTGAAGAGTTGCCAAATATCACGAAACAGCTATCCATGATTGGAGATCTGTGGCCGGATGAACGAAAACTATATCACTAGTTTGTTAAATGGCGAGTTGACCGTATCTACTATAGCACCAGAATCGGAAGAATCTAGCGGCCACATTGATGACCCGACTGACAGTGTGAACTGGGATACAGTTCCAACAGACACCTTGCTGTTTTCACGTTTGCAGTGATCGATTCTGGTAATAGTCTGTGCCGACACATTAGATCACCATGTTTGTACTCGTATGTAGCGACCCAAATGATCTGAAAAATCCTGAAAAATCCTATAAAATTTTCTGGTTTCCTATGCAAAATTTAAAAAACCTATCCATGATCGGCATATCATGGAAAAAAACTTATAAAACGTCAAAAAAACCTAAAAGATGTCATCTTGCAAACTATGTAGTTTTTGGGGCGCAAACAGTCATTCCACGTTTGCTCACTAGGATCGTAGTGAACGTCCATCTAACGAGGAATCACTCAACTAAACTACACGCGTTATTGGTTGCATATATTTTGGGAGACCAAATAGTCATTGTCTGTTGTTTTTAGTTTTTATCTCTGAGAAGCAAGTTGGTTGAATAGCAAGATCGCATCTGAATAGTTTTATGTTGTGCTTTCTGAAGAGAGGTTATGTTCAAAGTTATAAATTACGAAATACTGGGGAGAATTACGGGAAATCATCACCGCGCCCGCGTTGTGTGTAATTCGATAGTCTACAGTGAATATAATTATTTCTTATCTCTCTCATTTTTTAAATTCAGCAAATTTGTATATGTAATTTTCAGAATGGATAAGAAAAAGTAGATGCGCAACTAATTTCTAGCTTTGAATCTCAATTAAGTGTATTTGAGACCGAAACCCAATATAATTATATATTATCAACACATACAACTTACGGCTTAGACTGTAATGCCATCTCAGAAGCAGATTTTACATCACATCAGAGCCAAAGATTGATAACAAGCCTCATGACGTTTTGGCAACACGTACAACCAAGTACTTGGTTAACATCTTGTAGAAAAACCTACATAATGTAAGAAAAAAACGGCATAATGTTACTTTTGAAGATACCTGATACCCGTGCCGGGCATTTTACGGGTAAGTCGGGAGCGTAGGATCAGAGTTCGTCATCAATTTGACGCTAAGCTCCATGGGAGATTCAAAGCGACCCATTTTCTATTTCAAATTTGGTTCCACTTTCGTGAATCTTATCTCAATTTCTTCGCTGAAATCGTCCCATTTTTGAACACCAAATATGACTTCCCGGTGCTTTAGCATTTATACCATTGGCCAGGAAGTATTGCAACCGCAAAAATTTCGAAAATGACATTCGTTTTTTGGATCTTATATGACATGTACATAAAAAAGACCACGCCACTCATTTTCGCTGTCTGTCTATTGTTTGGCAAGTATCGTTCGGATTTTTATACAAGATTACTAATTTGCTAAGCACGAAAAAGCTTTGTGGTGTTTGAAAACCGATACCAAGGTGGTGGAGCTAAAATAAAATCGTTCAGGCTTCGTTTTTTACGTTTCGAGAAGCTCTTGATTTTCAAATTATTTGTAGGAGCTAAGGGTGGGAGGTTGCACGAGGAGGAGTGAGAGTATATTTCATTTTCTTGGCATCAATATACTTATTCGCACACGACATACATGTAGGTAATTCTACGTACGAATCATAACGCATGTCCCAAAAGCTTTGGCACAAAATGAGTTGGTTTTAATTTTAACAAACACTAAATAAAATCAAGTTGCCTTTGGAAACAAAGGTTTATTTACTTACTACTGCTACTAAAGTATTTCATTCTGAAATGAAGTGAAACGGCGAATTTCATACAGACAATGTAGAATGCCCTAACATTGTTAGATACAAACATCAAGGGAAATTTGCAGATAAAATCCTTGTATGGTGCGCAATTTCTAACAGGAGTGTATCCCAACCTTTTGCGGGAGGAGAGAGGGATGAAGCTTTGAATAGTCAGAGCTATATTGATAACTGCCTTTTCAAATTGCTTGTTTGTCCACGAACATCATGATAATGACCATATCATGTTTTGGCCAGACCTTGCATCATGCCATTACTCAACACAACATACCTTTTGTTCCTTCTTACTGTATAGGAAGGTTTACCATTGAGGCTGGGAAGCCTAAGATGACGAACAATTTACGAAAAACTGAGAGAAATTGGTCTAAATTCCGTCCAAGACCCTCGTCGTGATCTTACCGACATGTTTGGTGAGCGGCAAAGTTAGTCATAACAACTATGCCAGGTGGTCCGTATTGTTAATAGTGCAGGGAGGACATTTCCATGGACCAATTGTATAGGCCTGTTTGACTGACTTGATCTGCTTAATTTTGCCAATATGCATGCTAACTTGTTTTTTGAAAGGAGCAAACTTGTACCGAATATGATACTTTATGGACTAATGGCAGCGTTGCGTGGGAAAAAAATAAATTTCAAAGATTGTTGCCACAAAGGGGTATCAATGACAAATAAATGTTATGCCCGAAATTATCCCAAGGTACCAAATTTTAGTGCTTTGTGACAATGGGAGACAAACATTTTAGATTAAGAAGGCATAAACGCGAATAGACCTTACAATTTAATAGATATTTCTCCGACTCATCCATCAAGATACCCAATTTTTCTGACTTCTTATATCGAACGCAGACAATTTTTTGTGAAAAATTGATGCTTTCAATGTATCTCATCGAAAGCATTCAAATTCATTTAAAAAAATACTGAAACTCCCACAAAAGAAAATTGAGGAAAACAAACTGAAAGCTGGTAACGGATGATAATTACAACTAATGGTCAATGAAAAGTATCTTCAAGCATTTAACAATTTTAATAGTGATACGCCCACCTTGAAGAGGTGTAACTACTGGAACAACCTTTTTGAGAGAAAAGCAAGTATAAAGGAACAAATGTCGCTAATAATACTCCAATAAACAGTATTATTATTAAATGTCATTAGAACTGTTGCGATATGAAACATATTTGATCATCTTGATAAAAATGACAACTATGGCGGATTGCTAGCTTTGCAGTGTTGCCATTTTTTTATCTCTATTATATGTATACAGTCAGATAACATGATATGCACGTAAAATATCTTACCTAAAATGACGTCGATGACATAGTAGTACAAATATAAAGCTGCGCTGAATAAAACCCACAATGTTACTAAAACACTCACTAACACTGTAAAAAACATATTTGCACTATGGCGGGACGCAGAAAATTTGCCTTCAAGGATCACAGTTACTGTTATCTATTTTCGGAAGATTAACTGTAGATTAGATGTATGACGGCATAATTTCAGGTTATCTTTAAAGATGGTTTTGTCTATGTCTCCATACTTTTTTCAAACGGTGTGTGCACTCTAGCGAGTGTGAACAATAGAGTGTGGCTTATCATCTTGTAAATAAATTACTAATTTTATAATTCGCAACACATATTGCTATTTATAGTCCAGGAAATGTAAATAAGCTAGTCGAGTCTGCAATAACAAAAGTACGTTTGACAGGAGTGAAGCGCATAGTGGGGGGAACTGAATTGATCGCCGCGAATGACAAAGAGTAACATCATCGGACTGATAGCGGAATATAAGCTTCACTGTCATTATTTTCATATCAAATACAAATACGAGTATCAGTTTAAAATTCAAATTATTTCAAACTTTATATTGACTAAATTTTTGTTATTTTCATTGATGTCTTACCACCATGGATTAATTTTACTATCCTTGGACTATTTCACCAACCATTTTTTCCTTTTTAATGGAAAATTGCGTTTTAGGGATGCCCATAGGTCATTTACGATTTTCTCGTTTTACTTCAAAATCTCCAAATTGAGGGTTGGTTCCATACGAACGCGTGAGATTTCCAGATAATCTGGGACACCCTGTAAAACCATAAAATAACGAAAACAGGTATTTAACATTTTCGTTAATGGTTGTTTATTTTTAAACAATGAACTCAGCCGTGTCTTTATCGCTTGAAGCAATAAACATTTTGATAACGCTCAATAATATCGTTAGACTTCGTGTGTGCTTCCAATATTAATAGAATTTTCGGTTGAACTAAATTAGCGTTCAAGCATTCTACGAATTTTTTCAACTAATAATTTGTATTACTGGCTTAGGTTTATTGCACTTATGCACGTTCATTTAACAGGAACCAATAAGTACTGCATTTTGTGTATTTCAATTGATTCTCTCGGTAGGTTCTTTGGATCAATCTGAGCAAAAAAGGTCCTTCGTAACTATACTCTAAAGTTTAGTTTTTCGAGATTTACATCCCGAAAAACCCTAAGAATAGCCAATCTCAGAGCTTTAAACTGGAGACTGCTCTCTTGATTCAAATCAAATTGCCGGCTAGGACAAACTGAGAAGTCTGCGGTAGCTGAACATGCACTAAGTAATGGGGACCACAGGATACACATTGGGAGCTGCAGGTTGCTGTCATCACAATAGATTGGTCAGGGAAGCTATCGAGATTCACAAACGGATTACTTCAAAAAGAAGGAAGAGACCCTCAGACTCAACCCGATCTGACATCCGATCCTCAGAAATGCCCGAGGAGTGCCGATCGACATCCCGAAGTCAACCGAAGCGCAACAAGCCACGTCACCTACCCTCCAGTATAAATACAACCTGC